CATAGTTCATCATACCCAAGGTCTCATAAATTGTAACGTGCGCCATTATTTTATGTGATGCCAGGAAAATGAGGAAAATGATGCCAATTAACCACAATGCTTTCTTATCACTATACCTTTTATTTTATAATTATTCAGTTTTCTGAACTTACTTCAAAGTACAATTTACTTATTTTTTATTCTTTTTTTTGTTTAAGATTTTATTTGACACAGAGAGTGCACAAGTAGGGGGAGCGGCAGGCAGAGGGAAAGGGAGAAGCAGGCTCCCCGCTGAGCAGGGAGCCCGATGTAGGGCTGGATCCCAGGACCCTGGGACCATGACCTGAGCCGAAGGCAGATGCTGAACAACTGAGCCACCCAGGAGCCCCAGCTATATTTTATTCTTGTGTATCCAGAAAGAAGAAGCAAAAACCCTGGCTAAGGTATTCATTCCTGAACTTCCTCATTTTTTGGAGTCACTTTTTGACTCTGTGTGGTCCTCAGCCTGAATGCATTGGAAGCATTTGGATGCAGCATATATTAAAAATGTACTCCACTCTTGGCTTCAGGATTTCTTCCAAGAGCTGACATCCAGTATTCACAACTTGGTGCATATAGGCAGCCAGCGGTAACTAAATCACAAGTGTTGCTTGGCTGACAGGAATGGTAAAACGCATCTCAATTTAGAGATATTAAAATGTGAAAAAACTGTATTCCTGAGAATGAATGGAAGATACTCTATTGCAAATTGTCCACCAGAAAGGTTTTCCCAATTTGTATTCCCCCCACACCACACAACGTCACCCATTTCCCTTACACCTTAGCTCATACTGGGAATCTCTGTAATCAAAAACCTTTGCCATTCCTTTAGGTGACAAGTAGTCTCCCATTTTCATTTACACTCATTTTACTATTAGATTGGTTGAAATTTATCTTCAGATATTTTGGGTCATTTGTATTTCTTCTTTTCCAGTTGTCCATATACTTGCCTTATTTTTGTTTTGATGTTAATCTTTTAGTTTTCTACATGCCTCTCAATAACTAATGTAGGAAGGGTGTTCATCCTTCATCTATCCTATGTTGCAAATGGTTTTTCCCCTTGTTTTTAGTTTGATTTTTAAATTTAAATTTACAGGACTGCTTTTATTATGTGTGGGAGTATCTAATTTGCATGCAGTCAGTTTAGTTAATAATTTCTTCTGTGATTTCTTCGCTTGCTCTTACGTTTAAAAAGGTTCACTGCAAACTATTTTTTTGCTGGAAATTTTTTCTAAAAAATTTTTTATTTTTTACAAACTTTAAATCAAATAAATATTAATCTTTATTTGCTTCTGATTGTTTTATGGTTCTTTCTTGTTTTTAATAAACTAACTCTTTCATGCATATGAGAATTGCTTTGATAAGTGTCTAACCTTATTTCTCCCCAAAGGGTCAATGAATTATAATAGCAAGGCAACTGACTGAATAGGCCTTCCCTTCCCTACTGATTTAGGATGCCAATTTCTTCTATACTTACTGTGATTTGTATATGGGATAGCTATTCTGGTCTAATGTTTTGTCTTCCTAGTTTTGTACCAGTGTCATATTGTTTTAATTATTAATTAAATTCACCATATAATCTAACCAACTGAACTAGGCTGCTTTTGCACGTGAATTATGCCTGCATGACAGGCTCAAATCTGAGTCTAGGGGCACCGAGTAGGGATGCTTTTATAATGTATTTTCATTTTTGCTACAGCAAGATTCTTATGACTTTTGTTTTCAAAATTGGTTACTCTTTTCTAAAGCATAAAAATACACAGAAATTAAGTAGTGATGAGTATCCAAGAAGTATTTTTGAATGATTCACACACATCATATGAGATGGTTTGCTCAATTTAAATGAGCTTGAGTCTGATTTTTGATTTTTTGGTATTTATTGACTGTTTCTGTGACTTTCTGTTGCTTTCCACTTCGAGTTACATGCAATTGAGGGGTACTCTACGGGGCCATCACCTTACTTATGCTATCCCTCTTTTCCTTTGGGTTCTACAGAATTAACCTTTTGCTCAATCTTTCTCAGAACCTTCTAGCTAACTGTTATTTCAGGTACCACTTACATCCCTCATGCCCTTCCACTTTCTCACACTATTCATTTGCTGTAGGCATCTTCATTGCCAATTAGTCTAGAGGAGCAAAAATTTAACAGAGATTCAGCTCAGACTTCCCAAAGTTGAGAATGACAAGTCTATGAATTTCTGCTCATGCAATCAGAGGTCCAAACCAAGTAGGGGGCAGAGGAACATGAACCTCTTACCATAAATCCTGAGAGGGAGATAAGTCTTGCCTGAGTCCTGTACTGCTTCTCACTGTAGTAGGTGGCAGGCTGGGTTTTAGTTTTATTTGTTTATACATATTTATTTTGCAGCATTTATTCCCTGCTAAGTAGACATTGGTGGACACAGTTTCTCCAAGGCTAAAATTGCTCCTTAAACGATCACAATTCCTTTCTGTCAAGCACTGTGGAATGCCCCTTTCTTCCCCTTATAGAAACAATGTTATAAATTTTTGTATCTCCAGGAAAACAAAACATAACACTCAGGACATAAGAAGCTGATCAGCAAATGTTTGTTGAAAAAGTTTTGAATGACTTTCCAGTCAATGATCTTCAAGGCAAGGTATACCCTCAGCCTTGGTGTTCCTCATTTTTCATGTTAATTTTAGTTTTACTAATAAAAACATTTTGGTAGAGAAGTGAGGCACCACAGACCCTACAAGGACTTAAAGAAGGTTCTGGTGGATAATCCCACCAGAAGCTTCTTTCCAAACATGAGAATTTAGGGCCACATCTTTCTTTTTACTTGTGCTTGGCCTCTTGTCACTTTTGTCCTTTCCTGTCCATAAGTCAATAAGCTGGATGTTCTCCTGCCTCTTTCCCTCTGCTTTCTTTTCTGGCTCACTTTCTTGCCTTCCCCTCACTTCTGACCCACATTAGTTAAAAAAATCATCTAGCTAGAATGTCTGTTTCCTTTTGCAACCCAGCTCACCATGTTCCCTTGTCCTTTCTCCTTTGTTTAGGACTCATATATTAAAGGTAATCACATTTGGCTTTACAGAATCCCTGTTCTCTTTTGCAATGCTCAAGTTCAGGAAGTTCCCAAGTTACAACACAGTATGTTTCCCCAGTGCCTTTGCTAATAAGTTGTTTGGAACCTGGAAAAAATTTCCAGCAAAAGAAGGCTTTAACCGGTGTTAACAGTTGCCCATTTACAGTTACAACAACTTACTCAACATACTACACATTAGCATTTGCTAAGTGCTGCTGGTTGCAAATTTTTGTGTTCACCTCGTTGTTGCCCTGTGCTGTTGGAGTTGAGCTGTTCACTCCCCTGACCTTGTTCTCATATATCATCTGCCACATTTTTCCTTGTTCCAGTAAACATGATCTTTCTTAAGCACTAGCTCTGCAAGTTGTAGCCCTCCCTATACCATTCATCTGTAGGACACCACAGGAATTTTCTGAACACCCAGGTGAAGCAACAATAATTTGCACATGTCATTCAAAATTTAGCCATATGCCTGTGAAAGCTGGAGGTGTAGCAGGATGTCATGCCCTCTGGGATGAAGTCCATCACATAAAGAATAAAACATTATTAAAATATTATCTTCAGGGGCGCCTGGGTGCGTTAAGCGTTAAGTCGTTAAGTGTCTGCCTTCGGCTCAGGTCATGATCCCAGGGTCCTGGGATCAAGCCCCGCATCAGGCTCCCTGCTCAGCGGGAAGCCTGCTTCTCCCTCTCCCACTCCCCCTGCTTGTGTTCCCTCTCTCGCTGACTCTGTCAAAATAAATAAAACCTTAAAAAAAATATTATCTTGAGAGAAAGCATTTCTTGGATGGTAGCGCGCAGTTTACCATATGGTCCATGTCCTGGGATATGGTTCCTAGTTGACATACAGGAGGTCCCAATATCAATGCCGAATGAACAATGAACGAATGAACGGCCAAGGGCTACAGGCAGACCTCTGGACACAGGCTCTCAGCGTTTCCCGAGGTTTTGAAGCATGAGTAGGAAGGAACTCACCTCACAGTATTTCTCTCTGTGAGGTTACCAGAAAGGCCCATACCTTTAGCACCTCTGTGACTTCATTTTGCTGTGCAGAGTTCAGAGAGAACAAAGTCTTTTTTTTTTTTTTTAATTTTATTTATTTATTTGAGAGAAAGAGAGAATGAGAGATAGAGAGTACGAGAGGGAAGAAGGTCAGAGGGGGAGGCAGACTCCCTGCCGAGCGGGGAGCCCGATGCGGGACTCCAGGATCACGACCTGAGCCGAAGGCAGTCGCTTAACCAACTGAGCCACCCAGGCGCCCCAGAGAGAACAAAGTCTTGAGCACATTGTTTCACTTCGCATCTTTCTTTACCAAAGGTGGGTCAGTGGAGGCTTTATATTTCAGCTTTGAGAAACAAAGTATCCAGGACTATTTACCCCAGGAGTTTAAGATGCCTCTTTCAAGAACTTGAAGTGTTTTTTTAAATTTCCTGTTTCAACAAAAAGGTGCCCAGGAAAGGCTCCGGGTCAGAAGTGCGTGAACATCCTGGGCCTCTGGGGCCTGCCTGCACCCTCGGGTAGCTTTAGGGTTCAAGTTTTAGAGCAAGCATTTGGCCTGGCAGTGAGCCTGCCTCCCCTGGGAGGGTGAGTGTGGGCTGCACTCACCCGCAGCCACTTCAAACAAGTCTCTCCCCGGAGAGTGAGGAGAGAGGGACAGCGCTCTAATACCGCGCTCCGAAGTAGGGCTCTGTGAGCCCCGGCGGGGCTCGCGGTCCTTTAGTGGGTGCCATCTCGTCCTCCAGGCTGGCCACGCTCCTGGGGACCAATCCCCGGCAGGCTAGCATCTGCAGGAGGGCCCCGGCGCCCCGATCCGTGCCTCGCCGGTGGGGGGCGCTCTCCCGTGGGAACGGTCGGACGCCTGGGGCAGGGCGGGGCAGGGCGGGGCAGGGCGGGGACGCGGCCCCTCCGCCCCCTCGGCGCCACCCCTAGCTCCGCCAAACTTTCCCGGGGCTCCCGGCGTGTCACAGAGGCCGCTGGAGAAGAGGCGCGCCGCCGCCCGCCCGCCTTGTCCTCCACTGCTCCCTGCGCCCGGCCGGAGCCCGGGCCCCGGTCGCCTCGTCGCGCTCGGCCCCGAGGGCATGCGGCAGCCGCAGGGGGCCCCGCTCCCGGGCTCGGTGGCGGGCGAGCGTGAGCGGTGAGTGCGGGCGCCGGGCGCGGGGAGGGTTCCCGGAGCCTTGGGGGAGGCTGGGGCGCACCTCCGTCGGCCTGGGCCCGCGGCTCTTCTGGGTTACCTGGTGGCCAGCCGGGCGCCAAACCCACTCCGAACACCTGGGACAAGACCGTCTGGGGGGCGCCTCTTGCCCGCCCCGACTGTTTTTCTCGGGGTGAGAAGCCACGAGGATGCAAAATCGGCGTTGCATGGCGCGTGCTGTGGGCTGGTGGGCCGGGCGCCGGCAGCGCGGCGCAGGCTCCGCTCTACTTTTGCACAGGTGCTTCTTTTCCAAGCTCGGCCTTACAGCCGTCGATGGTAAACTGAGATTCTCCGGCGGGGCCCAGGGATGTCACATTTTTCAACCTCCAGTTACACCCGGTACGATGGTGTGTCAGGGAAAAGCTGGAAGTCTGCAAGGCATAAAGATTCCAGAAATAGTGATTATTAACTAACTGGTAACACTGTGGGGGGTGGTGCTTTGTGAGTAAGCGAAGATCCCCGCGATCCCCCTCACCAACGACAGACAAAAGTGCTTTGTTCTGTAGCAATGTTACTTTATTGCTTTCCCGCAGCAAGTTGCGACTACCCAAAATTGCTTAGAAGTTTCTCAACTTGTAATTTGAGTAGTGACGGTGAATATTGGAAACAACTTAGTCTTATTAAGGTAGTCATTAAAACGGCCCTCAAAAGCAATTTTTAACTGAGTAATTTCCACGAAATGTATTCCGGTAATTTGTTATTGTCCTTGCAACGCATTTCTCCCTCCTCACCTCTTTACTGTCCAGAGTATTACCTGGTCTTGGAATGTTACTTTAGAAGTTAAGAGCCACTTAGCTTCTCGCGGTTCCTACTTGTTTCTTTATAAGTCGGAGAGTAAAGTAAGTGGCAGTTACAGATGGATAAACCATTCTTTACCAATAGATTACCAGTCCCTACACTGCATGACATTTCATTAATGCAGGACTTTCCTGTTGCTAAGCAGAGTTGTCGGATTTTCCAGTGAACTATCTATCAGTAGTTGCTAACCCTGCTTCCCCTGAGGCTTTGGATCCAATTTTGTGTGGTCTGAGTCCAGGGAATAGAATTTTCCTTTTTTTCAACTGGAAGTCATACAGTTAGAAACATACAACTTTGGCTCTGTTACCATCATGCTTGTCTAAACAAACTAGACCATTCTAAAAAGAGCAGCAAACAAATCCTGACAGGTTTATGTACTTGAGATAAGCTTCCAGAGTAGTCTCGTGCCTTGAGACTGTATGGACCTAGTATCATGTGCTAGGACGTGTTAGATCTGGACATTTAACCATCTGGACATAACTGATATTGATCGTCACTGCCATATAACTAGGAAAGTAGATCATTTGGGCACATTTAAAAAATTTTCTTTATCATTAGCATTCCAAACTTCCTAGCTTTGATTTAACTATAAATGACATGTCCTTTTTCCTAAATGTGTAAACCAACTACCAATCTCTTTATATTAGATCAGATCTATTTTAGGTATCTGGGGGTTGTACAGGATGTTTGATAGAATGGATCTGCCTATGTTTTCTATAAATGAAGACTGAAATGAAAATAGACATGATTTTTTTTTTTTGGTGTACGTTCCTCAGAGCCTGTTTGAGAGTCTACAACATGTTCATGCTTTCCCTCATTTTTCCAAAACACACACACTTAGGGGGACATATGCGCACACAGCATTGTAGCCCAGCAGCAACAAAGACACACCCTGTCAAAGTCATACATGCATACCCAGGGCAGGCTGCTTCTCCCCCAAGTTCTACATCTTTTTGATGAGGGGCAGGAATGCATCATAACTTAAGTCCAACCTCTTATTTCTTTGGGCTGGGGCTAGGGGAATTGTTGTAACTCAAATGGGAATTACTATAACTCAGATTACCTATTAGCCATTCTCCTCGGAGGATACATTAGTTCAGAATGCTTTCTGGCCGGTGATTATACCCAACAGAGTGGTTAAGTCTGATTGCAAGCTTCTAAATGGCAGAGCCCTGGGCCCAAGGCGTTATTAATTCGGTGTAAGGAAAAGAGCAGGGCTTTGCATCAGGCCAGCCTTTGTTCCAGGCCAGGCTTTGTGACCTTGGATACTTGTTCACTTTAAGCCGTAACTTCCTTGTCTATAAAAATGAAGATTATATCCACCTCCCAAGATTAGAAGAGAAAGCACTTAGCAGAGTCTCTGATATACAGGAAGTACTGCTTAAATGCTGGTTGCCATCTTTTCCTCCAAGATAAACACTAAAATATTGAAATCTCTGTAAACATGGGTGCAAATGTACGTTGTTCTGGCCAGAGTGCAAATGTAGATCCCCAAGGTGTAGGTGACTTAGAGGTGTTCCCCATACTTTCCTTGCTTGCTCTCCCCGCCTTCCTGGTCCTTTTGCTCTTCCCTCCATCATTCCTCCTGCAGGTACTGAGCCTCCTCCCCTTTGGCCTTGCTGGTCTTCTGTTGCTCATCCTGGATTCTGCATGGACGTGGAGGAGTACCTCGGAACTTAGTCCCAACGTGGATGGGGAAGGTGGAGGTGAGGGGTGTGGCCCTGCCCACAGAAGCCCTGAGATTCTGTGCTTTTACAACGCTGAATTAGGCAGTTGGAGTACAGGGGTCTGGGTTCTAGTCCCAGCCCCACCTTTGTGAGTTCTTGTGACCTTGAATAAATCGCTTGTTGTGCTTGAATCCATTTCCCCATTTATGTAACAGGGATGATAATTCCTTTTCTACCTACGTGCATGTGTTGTTGGGTGCCATGAAGTCATCTATGTGAAAGAGCTTTGCACCCAGTGAGGACTACATAAACATTGTGGAACACCCCAGGCAGCTGCATAGAGGTGGTGGGGTCTCCGTGTGGGTGCTGGGTGTGCTGAGCACACACTGCTGCGGTCCCCCCACGCCCTCTCTCCAGCAGAAGGCGACTTCAGGGAGGAGATCCTGCCAGAGGTTGCACAACTGCCCTATGGGGAATACACGAGGAACAGAAGTATCAGGACTGAGATGACCTAACCCTGTGTGATCGCAGGCACAGGGCAAAGTTCCAAAGAAACTGTAATTCCCTCGTAGAATCACCTGGACTGTCTGCCCATCTCAGTGCTTGGTGGACAAAGACACAGAGCCGGCTCACCAGCCAGTGAGTCAGAATAGCATGGTCATGCCACTGCTGGACACTGAATGGGGCTGCCTGATGCCATCCTCACTGGCCTGTGCCTTCTCGCTAACTCGGGTCTTTAAGGTTCGCTCTGCGAAGCACTAAACCAACTCAGTGCATTTCCATGCTGCAAATAATTAAGCTAATTATTTAATTGAGTCTGAAAGATGTGTTGCTCTCCACCTGCCCCGCCTGGTGAGCCAGGAGAGGAGTGCCCAGTGAGAGGGAGGTTCTGATTTCCCGGGGTGCACCTACTCCTCTTCGCTCCCCAGGCTGACATCCTTCTCCTTATTCCTCTTGCCTCTTTATCTGCTGACCCTGCCTTTGCCGTACCTGACCCCTGTCCTCCCGACCTGTCTGCCTCTTGCCTTGAACTCCTCCCTTACCTTGACCCCTGACATCACCTAGCTCCCATGGACCTTGCCTCCCCTCCTCAGATGTGAATCATTCATCCACCTCAGGCTGAGCCAGACTGGGTGTCACTCTGAAAAACAACCTGCCCCGGACAGCCTGCTCCACCCCTTCTTAAGGATGTTAGTCAGCCCCCTTACTTGCTCATCAACTAGTCCTGGGTCTTTGTTGTTCTCTGGGACATTAGGCTGGAGGTGCTGCTAGCCCTGGCCTTAACTTAGCCCCATGCAGATTCTGTGGTATCATTGGGGATAGCTTGGCAGGTGGCAGGGCTGGGCTGGAGGGCATTTTAGCCCCTCCCTAAATGCCACCAGTTTGTCCAAATAAACATGCAGTCTAAACGAAAGCAGTGGGCTTGCTTTGTAAATAAAGCTTTAAGGTTTCCCTGGTCTCCCCTTACAAATAGGCTGCCCCAAAGCCCTTCCTCTACAGAAATTCTGGAGCTGGGGGTGCCTGGGTGGCTCAGTCGGTTAAGCGCCTGCCTTCAGCTCAGGTCATGATCCCAGGGTCCTGGGATCGAGTCCCACGTTGGGCTTCCTGCTCATTGGGGAGTCTGCTTCTCCCTCTCCCTCTGCCCCTCCCCCTGCTTTCTCTCTCTCTATCTCAAATAAATGAATAAAAATCTTAAAAAAAAATTCTGGAGCTGCCCCCAGATAGACCATATAAGTCAAAGGTGGGCAGTAGAGTCAGTCAGAGGCATTCGTCCCCCAAGGAGAGCGAAAGAAATCCAGTTAAGCTCTATGTGGGTAACTGGTTGTTGAAGACCAAAACCAAAGTTCAAATATAGAACTCACTGACTCATGTGCCTCCTGCCCTGGTTGATTATTTTTAATAGGTTAGTCCTTTGAATGGGGGCCCTTTCTCTGGACTAAACTGAAAATAAGTATGACCTTTTTCTATATCCGCATGGCATTTGGATTAGTCAGGGTTCTCCAAAGAAACAGAACCAATAGAATATAGATAGAGATAGATATAGATATGTGTGAGGATGCTTATTATAGGAATTGGCTTATAGGGTCACGGAGGCCGGGAAGTCCCATACTGTGCCACCTGTAAGCTGGAGAACCAGGAAAACTGGTCATGTCATTCAGTCTGAGTCTGAAGGCCTGAGAACCAGAAGCACTGATGTCCAAGGACAGGAGAAGATGTATGTCCCAGTTCAGGCGACAGGGCAAATTCAACCTTCTTCCACTTTTTTTGTTCTATTCAGGCTCTCAGTGGAAGATGACTCACGTTGGTGAGGGTGATCTTCTTAACTTAGTTTACCAGTTCAAATGCTAATCTCTTCCAGAAGCACCCTCAGGGACACACCCAGAAAATATTTTACCAGCTATCTGTGCATCCCTTAACCCAATTATGTGGACATAACAGAATTAATCATTGTACCACCACATCAGGAAATTGACATTA